CTTGATTTCGCATTTTACATCCTTCAAACTTGTTAAAAGCATTGGCCTTTACCAGGAGACGCAATGGAAGAAGTAACTACGTTTTTGACGGTGCAACTTTACGACGCTTTAAAGCCCAAAAACACCATAAGATACTTTAGGGGACATCTGCGAAAATAGTTAGCTATCAAAGAAGCTTCATTATGCAGTCTGCCTAACGAATCTAAACCTATATCCTATCAGTTATCAGTAATTGCGTTGGATTTCTGGGGGAATTCTGCATCGTGTAGGGGTTAAATGTTAGCCTCGCCATAGAGGCCTTTTTTGAATTCGTCACCAAAACCAACCTCTAACGTTACGCGATAAACTGCGGATTCAAAAATCCATGCTGCACGTGCGGAAGTTCTTATTTTTAATGAGGGTGATTAAACTATGAAGTGTCCTCCCCACAGATGTTGCGATTTCACCGTCGCTAGAAAATTTTAAAATGAACATTAATATATTTATTGTCCGAAATAACCTAGAGCGATGCGGATCGTAGTCAGTCCCTGAGACCCTCCCTCAACCCTCCATAACAGTAAGGGTCCGGTTCAATTATTTCAACCCACATAGTTGTATGTAATACACGTTAATTTTTACATTGCAAATTGGATACACAAAAGCCTCCGCCTAATTATTCAAAAAAATTAAATGGACTTACGATCTGACTGACTGACTTGGAACAACGATATTATATACGCTCCTAATGGAACTATGTTGACCTCCTTATGAGTTCGCATATAACGCCGATAATGTTGGCGCTGCAACCGTACGTACAAAATTGCTGTTGTCTCTTCCATATATTTCTTTCCTTCTTGAACATTTAATAGAAATCAGAGTAAGGACGAAATATATTTTTTTCAAAAATATCCCATGGGGTACGTAGCCGATTCGCCCGCAGATATAATCAGAGGTAAATTAAACGTTAATGTTTTAGAAGATCAGACTCTTTCCAGTGATTTGAAAATTTACTTAACGTCCAAGTCATTGTTGAGGGGATTTTCAACAAACAAGCCTTTATTTCGTCTATAATTTTAAACATTCGGTATAATTCATCGCATGCAGTCGGAATACACACTACGCAATTATTTCAACTTTTATGAACACACAGCAATGTTTGTGATAGACCAACCAGGACCGGCATTTCGTTTGAGCGAAAGTCCACTGAGATGGCCTTGGCAATGAAGACTGGCGCTCGCTTTCCTTACAATTATAAACAAGTGCTGGCTAAGAAGGTCGAAGAAGAAATTACAGTAAAGTCTGTCAGGTAGAAAGACCAGTCAAACGTGGACGCTCACATATAATAATAATACTAATAATGGGTTTAGTATAGCACCTCTTGGGAACTGTCTGTCTTACACGAACACAGGAAAAAACATAAAAAAACTGGAGTGAAGAAGAAGAATCGAGCATCGGAACACTTTGTTTATTGTCTTGAGCTTTCAAACTCTTGCAGGAGTCCATCGTTAGAGCTGATAGCAAAAACAGGACAAACGGCAATTATAAGGCATGTATGCGAAACATCGACCGACGGCGCAAAACTGGAGGTGATTGCACAGGATTCTGAACGCCCGCGCCACATTGACGAATCGATTGACCGAGATCTCACCCGGGCCCAGGCTTCAATCAATTCGGGGCTTGTTTTTTTTCCGGCGTGGAGGAATATTTTGGTAATTGCGAAGTTGAAGTCTTGACCCATATCGTAGGTGTTGACGGCCACTTGTGATAATGCGTCCCCTCGTAGTAAAGTCATGTTATGCTCGTGTGTGAGTGCGTGCTCCGAGTATGCGTCCAGCCTAGCCTGTGTACGACAGTTTGGGTACAGGATGAGATACATTACCCCAGGTTGTTCTTTAGGTTTTAAACATTCTTTGATTTATATGACGCTATTACGCATGTTGGCTTTGGGGTGGTGTGAAATTCCAAAACCTAGCTCCGCAACAATGCGTTCGGTCACTTTTGAAACATCCTTGATGTATCGTAGAGAATGTCCTATCGTCGACGGTGTTGATTTTCGAGTCCTCTGAAGCAATCGCGTCGATAAAGACTTCTAGATTCCCTCTCATAGCCGTTTTGCGCGAACTGGTCGCAGAAATAACGGGCTTCATGTGCTCTGTCCTACGATTTATTGCAATTAGTTTGGGTCCGTATAAAAAACGTCTTTACACAGCTTCGGTTGTGAGCCGCTGGATGGTTACTGTGAAACCTGAGAAGCTGTTTGAAGTTTCCTGCTTTTCTATAAACCGTCGCTTCAAGTTCACCTTTAGGATTTCGTCTGACGAGCACATCCTGGAAGGGCAACTGCTGTTTCTGCACTTCTTTCCTCATGGATTTTATATCAGGGATGAGCAGGCTGTGTAAATGTCGCAGAATGTCCTTCTTTACGATGACAAGCGTTTCGTCTACATAACGGCGCAAAACAACGTTTCATGTTGGATGAAGGATCTTTTCTTACTCATGTGAAACCAGTTCTGCCACTTAACCGGAGACCGGTGAGCATATTGGGGTGTCGTTGATTTGCTCATCGTTCTGTTCAGCAAAGTGAAGAAAGTTCGTTGGCAAAATTCAAACGGTCTCATGAGGTGCTAAATTTTGAGTGCATTCTGAGTCTCATCGTACGCATCTCCAAGTCTCTTGCGCAAGACATGGCTGTCAGGCGTGGTGGGATGGATGTGAATAACGACGTCACTCAAACAAGAACATGATTTGACCGAGTGAATCCTCCTATCTCGGAGGTCTATGAGGGATTTAGAGGGCTGATCAAACTGAGATAGGCAAATTGCCTTGGAGAAAATTCAGTTTTGAGCACATCCACTTTGCCAAAGTGTAGGCGGGGCAACGATTGGCCGAAGTGGGATATTTGCTTCATGAATTGAAATCTATGGAAAGTTTAACTGAACCTAACAAGGAACAGAAAACACATCCCTAGAAGTAACAATTTATGAAAAAATTTCCTCGTGAGGGTGCAGCGACTCACCGAATCCTATCGATGTTGCAGCCGCTGAAAGCAACTCTATTGAACATGTGGTCAGTATTGTTGACAACTTATCGTAAGGCTAACCGGACCCCAGGGTCATATGGGAAGAAACTCCCTGCTACGGATAGCAGTTTATCGAAAATTACCCCGAATCTGACAGACTTGAGGAAATAAGGCCCCGCAGTAATACCCTTCATGAAAGATTTTCTTCTGGGGCCTCTACAGTGACTGGGAGAACGGCAATGCTATCGAGCTGGTAAAGCCAGGACGGTAAACGTTTTAAATGGCCACTTATCGAAAGTTAAACGGAAGCCAACAAGGTTTGGGCCTGAAAATATCTAATACTTACCGTTCGAAAGAAAACAGCTCTTTGGGAAATATTAAACAAGTTTTATTGTAAATTTTCGAACTTGGTTCCCCAAGTCGTCTTCAGACGTGAAGTAAGTGTGCAACACAGTTAACATTTAAACATGCCGAAAAATCGATTTTGCCTTGTTACTCCTGCTGGCGTGATGTTCTGATTGGCTAACGACTTTTCCACTTTTCTTTGAGGCTATTGTACACCGTATCCAATTCTACGTGTCGATTGATGCACGCGCTGTCAGAATGGATGCCCTCTAAAAATTCACGGCCCTTTTTGATGAGCAAACAACAACAATGCGAGTCCTGTCCCATGCGAATTTGTGGCCCGTTTCCAACGAATGCATGGCAACTTGGGACAAGTAGTCGCGCCTTCTTACGGCCAAGTGATGTTCGTGTATTCGCGTAGAGGCCGATTTCCCAGTTTGACCACAGTAAACTGCATTGCAGGTGTTGCATGGTATCTTATAGACGACTTCCTTCTTATCTAAATAGCCAACCCTATCCTTAGGGTGTACAAGCTGGTTACGAAGTGTAGTCGTCGGTTTGTGCGCCACATGAATTTGGTGCTTCCTCAGGTGTCTTTCAACTAGTTCGGACACATTCTTAATGTATGGAAGTGTTCGCCGTGAATTTTTAGAGGCCATCCATTCTGACAGCGCGTGCATCAATCGACACGTAGAATTGGATACGGTGTACAACAGCCTCAAAGAAAAATGGAAAAGGCGTTAGCCAATCAGAACATCACGCCAGCAGGAGTAACAAGGCAAAATCGATTTTTCGGCATGTTTAAATGTTAACTGTGTTGCACACTTACTTCACGTCTGAAGACGACTTGGGGAACCAAGTTCGAAAATTTACAATAAAACTTGTTTAATATTTCCCAAAGAGCTGTTTTCTTTCGAATTATGATTCTTGGGATGCCTGTTTTCCAATAAATACTTACCGTTTACGAAATATTTCCTATTGTGGATGAATCTTTTTGACGCATGTCCTTGCTCTGTAACCCCCGACAGTCAATACTTTTGAACCTGTGACTTATGTTTATGGGTGAGTATTGACATGATTGAGGGAATAAAACTACTGTTAGGGATGGCATTCTATCGAAAGTTAAACCAAACCGAAGAGAGGGTAGATGGAAATCTATAGGATACGACGTTTAGTAAAGATTTCCCTATGGGGGCGCAGGGACTAAAATGATGTTATGGCTGTCGTAGCCACTAAAGGCAGCGCTTTTGTGCCCGTGGACGGTACTGATGGAAACTTGTCGAAAGTTAAATCGAACCCTATGAGATAAAGGGGACAAAACTACCGGTATGAATGTCAACGTATAGGAAGGCACACCGATCATAACGGATTTCGGGTAAGATAACCTCGTAGCACTCGCACTCACGGAAGATTTCCGTGTAAAATTGTAATGACCGAACGGATGACCTCTGTGTGGTAGCTAGTCAACTATCGATACTGTTTTGAAATTCAATAGACAAGGATGTGTAATGTGCAATCCTGGGTTGTCGATTGCATCCTTTCCGGAATTTTGTCTCAAAACCAATTATGGAGGTGATAATCGGAAACTAAAAGAGGGTTTCAGTGTCAAGCATTAATAAATTGCCCCACCATGACAAACATACAGTACAACATGGAATCATAGACTGCAGGACACTGCAGGAGTATTTAAAAAGGCCTGCACCGCAAGGTCTTTGAGTACAGACAAGGCAGATTGCCTCCACATGTTCATTATATTCAGTGCTTCCATTGTATGCTGTAAGCTCGTGATATCAGTCATGCTGGTGAATTGCAGTCCTGTAGATCGCACCGTCCCTCGAGCTTGTCCAGTGCCGTAAACATAATGAATTTCAGTTTCTGCGGCAACATTCTGCAAGTAAACATAAATCGAGTCCTGAGGCATATTCACGCGAAGGAGACCCCTGCGTGTCTGTAATGAAACAAGGCATAAAATATTTGCTTGCCAGATATTAAACACTGACTTAATTCATACAAGCATTTAATTTAACGTGTGTAGTAATGCTTTGTTGAATTTTCTCGGTAAACTGAAGCATTCACTTTAACTTTATAAAGAACTCAAAACGGAGGGCACATTATATTAATTTGTACCTAAAAGTATTTCAACACGCGCATTCAGTATAAAGTGAGAAACCATTTTTAATTTTTGTCCATTAGTTAGGGGTGGCCTCTTGTACAGATACAGTACATGTGTACAGTCAAAAGGGGATTGACCATAACCATGCAGAAATCCTTCACTGTTATACAATCAGAACAAATATATATACGCTACTTTTGATATCCTTGCTAGTTGAAAGCCGAGGTACGTACATCACATAGCAGTTTCCTACTTCAATGGCTGACGAATACGCACTCTTGAGGCAGATGTCGCGGCAGCAGCTCAAGCTAATGGAGGCTCTGATCGTTAAGCTAACCAACTCATCCATGAGCCAATCAAGCGCGGCTGGCCGTTTACATTCTGTTAATCACATTGTCGGCAGTATGACTAAATGCTTGTGAGACCGGTGGGCTCGTATCAGTTTGATTCCCATTACAAACAGTAGTATGACATGTTCTCTGTCGACCTGGCTGCCCAGGACGTGCGTGGAAAGTTACGACTCCTGTTCCGCAAACAAGGCTCTTCCAAACACGAGCGTTAGATCAACTGTTTCCTTTCTAAGAATCCCCGAGTCCGCACTTTCAAGGACAGGGTGCAGACGTTGTCGCACATTTTTGGCAAGCAATAATTCCTATTCAGCACTCAGTCTCAATGCTTACAACTGTGCAAACGAGTTTCCGGTGATTACATCGCGTATGCGGACATTGCCAATCGTGATTGTGGACGTTTTCAATTCGGCTCTCCTTCTGAAAACCAGTTCAAATGCCATATGTTTATCTTCGGCCTACAATTTGACAAAGATGCTGACATCCGGACAGGTCTTCAGTCTAAAAAAACTAGAAAAACTCTATTACACTCCAAGAGCTGTCAGGAAAATGCTAGAGGTTGATCAGCCTTAAGCACGACTCCGCTATGATTCAGAAGCATTCCACATCTTGCCCTGTCCATAAGATTAAACCGACAAAATCACATCCTGTTACGCGGCCCAGGCAAGTGTCCAAGGCGAGTTCTCCGCGATCTCCTTGTCGGCCCTGTGGCGCACGGCATTTCCATCGGAATTGCACCTTCCAACAGCATGGCCGCAAAAGTTGCAATCAGGCATGATGTGTTCTACAAATCCATAGTAGCTTCTGGAAGCAAGCCCGCCCCCAAGATCTAATTCCAGCCACGGTTTCTGGTCAAAACGCAAGTCTTAACTCCAGTCCGTTGGTAATTCCCTTATCCTCGTAGTCAGTTTCCAGCTTAATGCGGCTGGTGGTAGAACGTTTGTTGAGGTTTTACTCAATGGCCGTGCAGCTGACCTAGAGTTGTACAGACCTCGCCATTATCCCTAGGGGACTCTGGAAGTCCATTGACAGTGCGTCATAAGCGCTGGCAGTGGTCTCTCACACCTAATTGGACAACCGCAATCTTGTGTCTCTTTCCGCGGTAGCAACATCACTACGATCTGCTACATCACTATGTCCGATCTCAACCTGCATGGTTTCGACTAGTTTGAACATCTCGGTTTGGCCGATATGCCGGTCGACGTTGTTTGCAGTTAGATGCAGATTCCCGCTGTTATCAAAAACCAAGCTAAAGATATTTTCCAGTGTTCCATGACGGCAGCAAGTTCCTCGGATTCGCGCTGTTAGCGGATTACAAACCATTCCTGTCAGTCTTCGGTTCGGAGAAGGACATTCCTGTCTGTTCAGCCAGCCGACCTCAGCTGTCGCACAACCGATTTTGGTCAGACTGAAACACTTTCTCGCCTCATCAGCAATTAGCCGGGACCTGAGGAAGACACTTTGATTGCCAGTATTTCGATTGCGAACGATGTGCGACGTCTCTTCTCAGACGCTATAAAGGGTATCCCCGGCACTGCCGCGGACATCTGACGTGCTACTGAACAGGATCCTCACCTTCGTCAGGCCATCAAATACGGGCAGACCTGCTGGCCAACCACAGTTTTCGCTGGCGATTTTCGCCAAGTCTTCGTGCGCTGAACATGGATGGACTGGTATCCGCGAGAACATCGGTCACTAGGTTTGACGCTGTCCTTAATGCCGCCAAGCTGCTAAGATGCCGCCTCGTCAAATGCCAATACCCTGGCAATTATAGAAGAGGCCTTGGCACGCGTGCATATCGAATTCGTTGGCCCACGTAGTGGAGTCTCCTACCTAATCTTGGTTCACGCCTACTCAATCTGACCCGACATTGCCCCACTGAATCTAGCGACCGCCTCTGCCACCATCGCTTTCCTATGATGCATATATAGCCAGGATAGCTAAACGAAAGTCCTGGTTTCAGATAATGGCTCACAGTTTACTTCGTCGACGTTCGAAGATTTCTGCCGCCAGCTTAACACTCAGCATCTTCGCTCTTTGCCCTACCATCCTCAGTCAAACGGTCAGACGGATCGTTTTACCGACATTTTTAGGAGAGCCTGCTTGAAAACTCGTGGGCAGCAGACTATGGACGAGATAGCGCAAGCGTTCTTGTTTTCCTACAGGACAACAATGAACGCGGCGTCCCCTGACGGCGTTTATCCTAACGAAGCTCTGATTAGCCGGAAACTGCGTACACCGTTTCGTGCGCTCCGTCCTACTGGGGTGCAGCACGCCCAGACTGGAGGTGTTCGTTTGTGCATTGGCTTGCCAAATTCACTGGAATGGATAAACAAGAGTAACGATTCCAAAGGATACAATTATATCATCTTCTGAAATTTTGTACTTTTGCAACGTGTCCAGAAATAATGTATCCTTCTTATGTGTCCAGAAACTCTGCTGAAGTGTCGATTGATGTTAAACAGTCTTCGTCAACGGGTAGGCTTTTATGGAATTGTCATTTAGAAATCTTGTAATCGGATGCATCGATTAGTAAAACTGTTGCTGGTAATAGTGCCTCGGGCTTTTCGGTTCATACTTTCAATTGGTGATTTTCGGTTCAGTTTCTTGCAGGAATTTGGAATTATCAATTGGTAATTGTTTCTCTCCTGTAAGATGCTAAGCAATTTGGTAGGATCTCAAGTAAGGAAATTAAATACCATCAGCATGCCAACACTGACAACGTCTTCTCCTTGTAATCTCTATTGCTTAAAGTCGCGGTTTGGCCTCCATTTCAGTGGCGCTTAAGACAATGTGTTAGTAATTTTAGCATTCTAAACGTCTTCGTTTTGTGCGATAGTACGGCTTCAGTGTGATTCTAAGCATGACCTGCTATCTTCTGTTTTATCTTTCGAAAATGTTTTACCTTCCCGACCAAATGTAAACTCAACAACATCAATTTATTCAAAGTCCGTTATTTTTAAAAATTTATTTTTTAATATTTTTTAACTATCGCGCCCAGTTTATTTGGCCAATGGCAGCGTAGGACAAGGCTTTCTAAAGACATCAGTCCAATTTCTGTGTATTCTTATTTTTCTCCTTCGCCCTTTGTTTCGCTCACTCGTTAAACCCTATCTACAATCACCAGAGTTATGGCTCGGTCCATAGGATAGCTGGAGTTAGTTGTGGGTCCTAAACCTTTATCGCTGCCCAGAAAGTGTATATTTCATTCTCCTAAAAGACTCACGTTATTCGGATATTATACGGCTTCTTGTTAAAAGATATACAATCTTCGTCATTCATTCAAACGCTGTCTACAACACGTCTCCCCTTGTGCCTTTAGATGTCGAAAGAACATGTAATCGTTTCATTTGAAGATTAAAGTAACCAACATTTTTTTTGCGTTAAATTGAGCATCGAATGTGAACGCGCGAAGCAGGATTTGACCTTAACGCGATGCAATTTAATATGCCAGGGTAGTTCTTTTTGGAAAGGACCTTTAGACAGTTTTAGTTCTCTGTATACTTTGCACGAAGTGGACACATTTTATGCATGGCATATTTTAGCTTTCACTGTATTCGGGCATACTCCTTCACCGTTATTTTGATGATTCCTCTGAAGCTTGCGTCTGCATGCACATGTTTAATCTTGTACTTACACTAACCGACCATTATATCTTACAGATCTTCAGATAATGTCAGTTCAGTTGATACTGCATTCTTCAGTGTACATGAAATCATTTGAAATTTAGTGTGCCTACCATATGATGAATTTCAATTTCGACACCAGAGAACGTCAGGTTGCATGCCATCCTGAAGTACTTTGCCTCCCGAATGCGATACACATAGTAGCATTGATGTACTTGTGGATTGGCTGCTGTTGTCATGAGAAGCTGCGTTTTGCCTCGCAGGTTGTATGAAATGGATGCCGTGAATGCGCAGGAATTCTCGAATCGTTTCTGGACAAGTTCGTACAAGTGGAATCCATTCTCTGACCCAGGACAACGTGAATAAGCTTCAATTCATAAAAGGCAAACAGACATATCGCATAATCCTGCGTTTGCGTGAAAATATTCGGTGTAAAATTCCACATTATTTGCACGGCTATAGAGACAGATGGAAGGCTACGGGGTTAACGTAACTCAAAATCCCCTAAAACATCATGCGATGAGAATAAGATAGGATTATGTCAATATAAAGTTCGCAAGGCAACGGTTCGTATAGAATTAAAACTGCGGGGTGAGATATCCCATAATCCCTGTCGCTATTGACCTTGAATTCCTAATCAGTGTCAAAATTTTGTTTGATAATTAATTGCTCCTTTGTCTCGACAGTACTGATGCACCAACCAATTTTCTTTCATGTTTGTGCCACGTTGTGGAATTGGTCTACTGTGTTCAAAAACATATGCCTGCCCACAAGAAATAGACAGAATTCTACCAGAATGCAAGGAAAATTAACGGATTGCGCCCTTTTCAAGTTACAGTGGCTGGGCTATTTCATAAAATGTCAACCAAAATTCCGAAATGCTTTTTCGCTTCGAAAAGATCAACTAAAGAGGGTTGTAAAACTTGTCAGCCTGCAGTATAATTCTATATTATTTCATTTACCTAAGGAGGCCGGCTATCGAATCAATATCCTTCCGTCTGTATGCAAAAGCTACACTCTGTCAAAAACCACCGTTGAAATAGCATGCATTTTTTTCCATTGATTTGCAATGCCCCTAAATGTCAAATTGTATCTCATGAAAAATATGCATAAAAATATTCGTTTACTCATTCGTTAAAAAAATGCGTCTTTTTCTAATTGTATAGTCGAAAAACGGACATAACTCGGTTTGCAAAACATGTATAATTCCCGAATAACTTAAAACACTCTCTAACGTTACACCTGGATTTATGGTTTCCAAACTGCAAGCCGTATATTTTCCGCGTACGGAAAAAACGCAATAAACTTCGTTAGTAAAATGTGACCCTACAGGATTCATAAAATTTAGCAGTAGATTTGATCAATATTGTTAGTTTTACAATCCGTAAAGGGAAAATGCAGAGGCATGATGATTTTTGAACGGCATTTTACAGTATTTAAAAGCTTAACAATAAGCCACATATTCTCAACTGAATTATGTTCTAACATCGAGTATAAAATAAGAAGAAGACTTAACATTAAACCGAATGAGCAAACGAACGAATATTTTTATGCACGTTTTCCCTTAAACAAAATTGGAAATTTAGGGGCATCGAAACTCAATGAGAAACAGTCATGCTACGTACATAGTCATTTTTACAGGGCGCAGATTTTACTTGCAGCCTATAAGAAGTGTGTTTAAAAGCCAGCCTACAGAGATAATGAAAAATTGTACAATTATGTTACAGGTTTACAAGTTTTACAACACTATTCAATTTATCTTTTCGAAACGAAAACGAACTTCGGAATTTCGGTTGAAATTTCATGAGTTAGATTACCAACTGTACATCTGTCTGAATGAGGCGATTTTGTCTGGCATCTGTCTGCACTTAAGGTGAAAATAGCCTATTTTTTATTTTTCTTACTCTGCGACGTGAGGAAGAAGGCATTATGGATGGAACCAAAGGCGGAGTGCATCTTGATTTATGAAAAAGCTAACTAGGCCTTTTCACATTGTGCGAAAGTGTTTTTAAGACAGTCAGACAATCATTGACGTAAGTTACCATACAATAGTTCGTCAACGGTCATTACTTAGAATGGGGCACTTTCAGTTTAAAAGCATGCGATACCGTTCATAGGTGCGCGACGAAAAATGGCCGAATGAATATGGTCGTTGCACGATGAAAATAGACGATCAATTCACAACGTTGTTCCCTTTTTCTACAGGCAGGAACAAGAATACTCAATGTTAATCGTGGGCACTATTCATAGCCTGATCTCTCCTCAAGCCGCATGCCATTTTCCGCCAGCCTTATACGCACGCATTTGTGTGGTCGTATTGACGAAGGCAAGTTTTTGTTCAGTACCAGAGTGGTTGCAGAAGGTTGCGCCCTGCCTAACTATTTATTGTGTTCTTGAAGTGCACATTTATGCATGGTCAAATTGGGTTTCTAAAACGCCTACTACTTACCTGTTAATTTTTATAGCCTTATGCTTTCAACAGCCCGTGGCCAATTGCATATGACCATACTATTTGCAGTTGCTAGATAGGTTTTTTTAGAATTCTCTGTCTGCGCACATGTACCGACTAACGCCCTGACATAGCGTTAACAAAACATTTACAGTGATTTTCTTAGAAGTGTGTCACTTCTGTGTTTTTTTTACAGTCGATGGAGAATACAGAGACGAGAGCCCTCTTTTTACTTAATAAAACCGAATTTAAGTGAACCAACATGGCGGCGAATTATGGTTAAAACTGATAGGACAGTATTTGAACGGAGCAACTTGATTCTTCTTGATTAAGCTCAGCGTGAATCGCAAGCCAGCTTTTCGTTTTGCTGATTCTATTGACACGTGATTCCATAAGTTATACGGCAACAGTATTTCGACAGTGTTTATGCATAGAATGGCAATCTCATTCCAGTTCTTTTTAACAACACACACTGTCTGCCTTAACCGTGAAATCTTGATGGCCATTACTTTTAACATTAATTCGTTGTTGTTTGGTATGAATCGCCAGATAGAATAGTTAAAAATGGCAAAACAAATAAAAACAAGCATATGCGGCATTCTTAACCAATTGCTTACACAGAATATTTGTTAAGCCACTGCCTGCATAAAACAGCATCAAAATCAATGACGCCAAGACGAGCTCTTTGCACGACATGTTTTTTTTTAACAAAATACTAGTGGCATACTTCGGAATTTATATACACTTAAATAAGCAATTGGTCCTATGCCGCATAAACCCACACGTTGCCAGCGGATGCAGTTGGGCGTAGATTACTGGTAGAGCAGACAGATGCTACATGCTTCGCCAATCATTAAACGTCACGAAATGGTATCCCTTTCCACATATTTTTCGTTGATAATTTTTTCTCTGCTGCATATTTTGGCTTTTGAAATGAACAATAATTAAAATATGTCTCGAGTAAAAAAAATTGTCAATGGTTTTCTTTAAACTATAAATTTTTTTGAGTATTTCCACAATAAAGCGATTTTCTGAAAACTTATTTTGCTAATCTTACAGCATTTCCACCAACAAAACACGACACATCCAAAAATGTTTATGACTTGTTAGAATGTTGCACTAAGTTACCATTTTACCGCCAAAAATCAATTACTTAAAACTGTATAAGCAAAACTTATGCAAGTAATTGTTCCCATTCTACATTCCTAATCATGGTTCCATTTACGGCACTTTTCGTTTATGTCATCTAAATGTCCGTAAAAATTACGGACATTTTTTCACAGATGTGAGTCTTTTAGCGACTGCATTGATTCCACTTTTTGTACGAAACTATTCTTCAGAAAGCCTCTTAAACAATTTCGGCTGCTGTCTGATGTGGCTGACGTGTAAGGTGATTGATAGTCGTTAAATATTTCACCTTTGCAAATCAGACAAAATAGCAGACAAGACGAAGTTGCAGAACAATTAGCACGCAAGTCCTAATAACAGTGCCAAAAGGTGATCAATGCCATTGCCTTCGGACCACTTTAAACTGCCTTCCAATGAGCCACCAGCAGCACAAAATCCGGGATATGAGGGCATTTTGAATGTGTCAGCCAAATATTTGTTTATTGATGTATTCTCTACTTCTGCTAACAAATAGTCATCTGACAGGTTGACCATGACGCAACCTAAGATCTATTCTTTCATGATGCTCGTTGTCGATATTGGTATTGACATTAAACATGCTCGCCGTACTATTAACAACGTAATGCATCCTTGGCTACAACAACTCCCTCAATCGCTTTCTATTTCGTCTGCCGTTTGGCAACCACAAATAGGTTTTAGCAGTCAAGTCAAATAACAACTCGCTTTATAAAAACGCCGACCCTTTTGCTGATTTTCTGACATATTTCCGATGAAATCCTGTTGATTAAAACTTCTGACAGACGAACACGTGACCTTGCGGACTCGGGCAAACATAGAGGTGCATCAAAGCTCAGACTGCTACAGCCATAAACCTTGAAGGCTACTGTTCACAACACAGTCGTTCATAAACCCATCTGAATCATCTAGAAACCGCTTAAAGCCTGAAGAGCAATCTGGAGTACGGCATCGCATTTTCTGTCGAAATTGTCCTCGTAACTACACAGGACACACTGGACGCTGGCTATGCGACGAGGCTACGCATTATCACGAGTGGCCGCCCACACCTACGAAATGGGTAACCCGTTTATCTACGCAGCCACCTAAATAGTCGTCCACGCCGGAAACAAAACATACCGAGAACTGATTGAAGCCTAGGCCTCGGATGAGATCTTGGTCAATCGATTTATCGATCTGGCGTCGGCGTATACAGCCCTGCGTAGTCACCATCAGTCGTGCGCGTCGGTCGATGATTGGGCTAAGTGTCTTATAAATGTCGCTTGTTTTGTTGCTGCTACTTCCACTGACGATAGATTTCTGTACGACTCTGAGAGCTCAGGAAAGTGAATACAGCGTTCCGGTGCTCGAATCTTCTTTTTTCATTTATAAACTGCCTAAGTCCTTTCGCTAATCAGGTCCCGTTCGTGTGTGAGTCAAAGGAGTCATAACCGAAAATAATTGAAGCCTTGAATATTATGGGTGTTTTGCGTTTCGTAAGCTTGAGACCGAAGTTTTGAGACATTTTGTGCAACTATTAAGTGCGTACAAGACAAAAGGAGTGCATTTAGGTTACAGGTACATTTTCTGACATCAAAATAATTCGACGAAAAATGTGTCCGTCGGGAAAGTGAACAAACTCCATTTCAAATGAATACTTGGCGGGCATACGTAGCTTTCGACAAATTCTCGTCAGGCGAGTACACTTATATGGGAAAGGAGTGGAAGCACAAACACGTCAGTGATAATATAAATTGATTAAAGTTCGCCTTAAACACAGGCTGAATGTGGAAATGTGGGGGGAGGCAGTGTCTGAGTCAATGTGAGAACGGAAGGGCGCGGGGGAGTATAACGATAGTCAATATTCCACCACTGAAGGCGCGGCGCCTGAACGTGGTTCTTCTGTACGCACAAATTTAGTTTTCACAACCTGATGGCAGCAGCCTCTGCTGTTGCTAACAGACGCTGTCCCAGTGGTTTAAGATAGCTTAATGGAACCTTATAGATCACACAAAACGTTTCATTGATGTCTATATGATATCCGGAGTCCACTAAATTTCGTAAATTGTTTATTATTGTGCCCTGGTATAAATTCTGACAAATATTTAAAATTTAAACATGCCCAAGAATTCGATATTTCATTGTTAGTGCTGGGGATGTGTCGATGCTGCGGACTGGTGAGATGTTTTGAATAACTTTCGAATTATGTTTCTTTTAAGGCCTCATACGTCGGGCGTGGGTACGACTGGCTAAGCACGGTTAATAAGCCAGAAATGACCATTCTAGTCTCGCTTGTCTTCGCCGGTAATAAAATACTGTCTATATCATGCGCCGCCGTGCGGCTGCTTATTAAGCTCTAAAAGGAGCCCGTAAGACAAAACGGAACGAGTGAGTTCCTTAATATCGATCGGCGAACGCCCTTTACCATTGTTTATTCCCAATCGGAAACCGACAGGAAAACAGACGCGTGGCTCAGTGATTAGAGGCGTGGACTTCTAACTGACGGGTCGCGAGTTCCAGCTTTAGATGTTCCACACCTTGGGGTTGGGTATGGCTGGCTGATGACGCTTAGGCCTTGAGTAAAACATACATTTGTTCACAGTACGTGTGGAGTTGTTTAATCTTATGAGGAAAAGGTAACAGTTGACAATAATGAACGTTTTATTCGGCCCTGTTTCCTACCCATCCGAGGACAATGTCACTGTAGGATGAGGCAATACAAATAACGAGGCAGGTATATTGATAGAAAGTCAAAATAACGCCTCCACCCATCGAAATTCATTTGCATAGGCTAGATTAACTGTGCTTTTCTTTTTAAGTTACAAAATTGGCAAGGAAATCGAACAGAACAGAATGCTCCAGGAAGGACCGCAGCCTATTCGGGAAGTCCTCCGGTAATTATCAACTTAAGTGAAAGTGAGGAAATAGGGTGATTTCATGAGGTTATACCAGTAACAGATATCAAAGCGGAAAACATTGCTCTGCAGTGCGATTTTGTAGAAAAATGCAATTCCTATGTTGATAATCTCAAAACAACAATGCTTCTAAAGTAATGATGTCGCGTCCAATTTCGGTCAGAAACTCGAATTGCACTGGAAGTGTTCTAAATAGCTACGACTGGTATCGAAGAAAGTGGGAGATCACCAATAATGCACCACCAATGCATTGATTGTTTTTTTATATCAGGGATAATTACGGATTTAATTTCAATACAAATCTTCGCTCGGCAAAAATCTTAACTTCATGGTAATGAGAAATCAAGCCCATTGTAGTATGCACTGGCAGCAACTTGCCTTATCACAGATGCAGCTTTTGGTGATTGCCCATTAAAATTTCTGACAATCGCCGAAGCAGATGTCTGCCTGCTGGCAGTCCGAAGTCTTTATGGAATACCGCTTAAAAGGACTCTCCTCGAGCACCCCATCAACTGAAGTACTTAGACTTAGCTGTCTGGATGATGATTAGCTTTAAAGTGAACGTCTCAGTAGTAATCAGCATTTATCCGAATGGTACAACGCTGTCTCGACTGTGGCAGGAGGACCATAGTTTGTTGTTCCTTTTGTTTTTGCTGCTGCTAACTCAGGTCAGGTCAAGGAGTCCGAGCTGACAGACGTATTCACTTCATGGCAAAACCCACTGACAGCCATGTCTTCCAAAGCGTCTGCTGTCTGTATCGTCTGCATGCAGGTATGTATTTACGCAGCACGTGCACAAGACTCCGGTTTCATGCGAAATCGGACTCAGTCCACGCACACCTAGCCGCTGGGCACTTAGCAATCTCTCACATTATCCTAGACGTGCTTGTTCCCTTAAGCACTCAAAACAGAGTACAGGCGACGAAAACAGTTTTGAGTTGTGGATTTATAATATCCACACTTAATTGCCCTCACAGCAAAATCTATTTATAACCACAGGGAATAATCCACACCGTCAATTTTCGCTGTCACAGGTCCCCGTTTGATTACAGACACCATATTGCTATCAATTATATCATCGTTTATGACCCTATCTCGTTTGTCTCTCATGATGTGTTCGAGCAGGCATACGAAACGTCAGGCTAATAAAGATCTTGTCAAAGCTATCGTGTCTCCTTCTTCAAACCCGGCCAATGTTCTTCATCACTGAAACCTGAAGCAGTTAAATCATGTCCAAAAGATTTCAGGGCATTTCTTGGTAAATAGAAACAATGCCACTTGTAACCGCGTAAAGTGTTTGACAAGAATGTTTCGTTAAAGTCAAGAATATTACTCACCATTACGTGCGAAAGACTTCATTGTGATTCATGATTACTACCTAACCTATAATGGGGAGTGGTGCAGGCAACGATATAAAAACCATTGCGTGCGAGAGGCCTGTATAGGAAAAAAAACTCAGACAGTTCTTCAGACAGTTAGATGTTTGTGCTCGCAGGCTTGTAGATAAGAAGACGTCGCCTAATGCCAACAACCGACTTTTATAATGCTTAGTTAGTATGACATGGAAAGTGGCAACTCCAATTTAGGTAAGTGACGTTTTGCCAAATTCCAAGTATGGTACATAATACGTCTGCCTTAACCGGGAGCCTGATAGAAGTCTACCCAATATTTGACATAAAGCGACTCGGATTTCTATGGTAGGTGGTGCTGCGGAGTCCGTTTAAATGCTCCTAACACGGAGCTTGGACCAAAGTTTGTGCACACAGTTTTAAGAGCTTATTTGATAAGATATTATGATGGATAGGCAACTTCATCGTCTAATTATTATAAATAATATTGATCTTGTGAAAGATGTAAACGTCAATGAATTGGCACATGCCTTCGCCACAAGCTCATCCAGCGAGTGCAATGCATCTTGCCTCCATTTCTTTTGTATATTTCGAAGTTTTCTACAGACACTCTGGACAATGCCGTTAAAAATATGACCTTTGGAATGCAATAGCGCATGTACTGCCAGTGTTCTGAAGGCATGTGGGAAGTCCGCAATTGCGTCCATACCTTTCATATCAAAGTTAAAATGAGAGCTGACATATCACTGAAAAGAGTAAACCAACCTCATCCATTCACAGTTCCACAGACAGGAGCATGCTTATTCCAGAATGTATACCCGAATTCGTACGAGCAGAGCACAACGTTTTTTGCTGAAATTCGTATTTGACACATACTGTGCTTCCGGAACATCTAAACTATTTATTTCCTGCCAAAATAGTTTCAAGAACACATTGTTTAAAGCTGATCGGTATTTAATCCAATGTGATTAGTCGTTGTGTGGGAAATTTACGGGTGGGCAGCAGGACCGACAGTCCATCTGCCACAGCCAGATGGTTGCGTAATACCAACTTAATTGCTAAATGTTTGTTAGTAGTATATACCAGGAATTACATTTACTTTCAAGACAGAGGTTGATGGACAACTCCCATTTCTGGATGACCTTGTACGTCAAAAAACCTACGAATCACTTCATAGATCAGTTTGTAGCAAAGACGTGTATCCAGAGGTAACTCTTCACTTAGAGCGTAAGCAGCCTGTTATATCTCCAGATAGTATGACGCCAGTTCTGTGCGGAATAGAACATAGACTTGATACCAGAGAACAAATTTTCTGTGTCAGTCACTCTGTGTACCCCAACTCTTAATCCTTCCGTCCGTGGCTTCGTATTCAAGGATTCAGCTTTCGTCTGGTTTGCGTGTTACTACTGTTCTAGTCCAGAAGGCCCGCATGGGCAGGCCCTCGCGTGTTGCTGACCCCTGGGGGTCGCGCATAACTCGGCGGCATGCTAATGTCTGTCTTGCAAACGGGCTTCCTATGCGAGGTTCTCCGGCAAATTTGCGGCTCTTTGTCAGACGTGACTTCCGTAACTAATGAGCGTCCTCGAAGCTAATATGTTGCAACATCCGTGATATTGTAGGTACTTTAAGGAGTCGCGCTGAAGTTGATAGCATATAAAGACGGATTGGTTAAAATCTTTCGATTTCGGCTCTTCATTCAACCCTCGCACAAACGCTTTTGTACAGCTACTAAACGTTATATCGTCACTGTCGCTACTTGCTTTTATTTGGTAGTTTAAATTTCCTAAATAGAACAGTTCGTTCGATGGTCAACTGTATGTACCAGCGGACTCGGAGAAAAAAACAACGTGCGAAGCACTTTCTGGATGAGGATTGCGCGCTACCATAACACAAAACCATATATCCGAGCTCGCCGAAATGAAATGTATAAATATTACTTGAATAAATCCCTGCATAAACTTAATCCTTGATCTGGAAGATATAACAGTATCTCATAATAACGTCCTAAAGAATGTTGTTGCAAGATGCCGATTTTGCACAAGTAGCCCGTAAAATAAAGCAGATTTTTAATGAAAAGTGTTGTAATATAGTGATCCCAGACCAATGTAAATAAGCAACATGAGTCTACATGTGGCATGATATCGTTGGACTATTTAGAAAGGCCTGCACCGCAAGATCTGCGAGTTTGGAGAGAGCAGATCGCCTCCATGCATTCATTATATGCAATGCCTCTGTGACACCTTGCAATCTCTTGACGTCAGTCAAACTCGTGAACCGCAGCCCCGTAGCCCGCAACGTCTTTGCAGCTTGTCCAAGACCGTAAGCATAATGTATCTGTGCTTCTGCTTCTACTCTCTGCAAATTAACGCGGATTACGTCTCTTGCCACAAAAACGTCATAATAACCCTGCTTTACCTAAAATGGTACATAAATTTAACTGGTTATTTGAAAAACATAAAACATTCTGCTGTAATTTACGAAGATTTTCAAGTTAACACACATAAGTCCATTTGGTTCAGTTTTACGAGCATTTCCAAACAATCGTTTGGGACTGTGTTAAAAGCTCAAAGTCGCCGCACATTACATCCATTTGTTTCAGAAGGTATTTGTAAAAGGTATATAAGTGATGTGAAGAAGCGATTTTTTAACATATAATGGATCTAGTGACGCTGGGCACGACAATCGTAGTCACTGACGAATGGCGTTTGTGTGTGTTTATTGTAACTTTGCAAATACTTTCTAACGTGATGTTAGAATGACAGGTGTTCATACCGTATTTTGAGCATAAATAGGCGTTGGAAGCAGAGACACGATGAACGGGGGGTTTCTACTGTTGTACGCCTCAAATGCAGGGCATTAAGTGTTACCTGTGCGCTTTTAGGTACGCCACCTGCAGGTAAGTATCTAGTCAATCAATATAAAGATTTTTATTTGGAATCTAAAAAGGTTAGATGCAACGCTCAGTAAATGTACGACCTCGTGAGTTAGAAATCTGAATATCGCCGTCCACAAAATCATCACCTGCTTGAGCCAACCGATATGTCCTATAGGTTGCGAGCGAAAACCCATCACAAATGCCCTTCGAATTAAATAAATTTACTTATTAGAAGAAGAAAATTGGCTCTCCGGAACAGCTTTATTTAACTGCTGACGTTTCAAAGAGCTGGGTAGGCTCTTCATTGTCAAAGGGTAAACTGCACCTAATCGATCAGAAATTTAGTTTAAAGTGGCAAGTTGTTTTGGCCGGCCTCATGGTGATCGATTTTTTCCCTCTCCTCCCGCTGCTTCGGCCTCTCAGGAGATGGTTGACGGGCGTTTTTGCCTGTGCGCTTTATGAGTCACCACTCCGTCGAGGGGAGCTGATTGGACTTTAGTCGGGCGGTCGGTCTGGCGGTTCTTGTTCTTCCTCACCGAGTAAGCTCAGCGTCGGGATATCTCCGTGCTGCCTTCTTAAGTCAGGTGTGGTTGTTTGGTCCTGAGCTCTACGATTGTGATGACGTAAGACTTTGCAAGCTGCAGGAAGGTCCAGATGCCTGTTGATAGATTGGGCATCGGAGAACCACGCTTCGAGAGTTAGCCGTTCTGTTTTTGTGTTGCCTCGGCCTAAGATGGTAGCCCTCTGGAGGTCAAAAGTATGTCCTGTTCCTCCAACGTGTGTTGCTAGTTGACAGTTAGGTTCTAACCTCCGAGTGGCCGATTTATGTTCTTGTAGGCGAGTTTGCAATTTCCGCCCAGCTTCGCCCACATAGTTGCAGTCGCCCTCATTGCAATTTATTTCGTAGATGACTGCTGAGGTTTCAGCGGGTGGCAATGGGTCTTTAGGTTGCATCAGGCGACGTCAAATTGTTGCTTGTGGTCGATGGGCTATGCCTACTCTGGTGGGTTGTAACAGTCGCGAGACCGCTTCAGAGACCCCTTTGAAACGTCAGCAGTTAAATCAAGCTGTTCCGGAGAGCCAATTTTCTTCTTCTAATAATCTTCCCGGATCTCTAAACTTTTCCAATCTAAATGTACTTAGTATAAATGACAAAGAATAAAGTACTCAGGTAAGTTACGCCCCTTGGGTGTTTCTGGCCGTTTGCCACTGAAAGGTTTGCTTTCCTTAAGGGTCAAATCCAGTTTTCCATGATGCAGGGAATATGCAGCTCACTCGGCATACCTGCCAGAGCCTATCTTTGCTCTGTGCTTTGCAAACTTGCTATTGGCGCTTATGGCGGGTGTCTGCTTGGCCTCCAGATTTACCATGAAGGCTGTGGCTAAATGCGAAACCACCGTTCCCCAGCCTTCTGGCAGCAGATGCATTTTGATACGAAACTAACAGTCAATACTGCGTTTAATCCAGATGGGTCTATACGGCTCTTCTGCCGACAGCCCCTCTTTTTGATGGAGTTTACATTTCTGCAGATTACAACACGTATCAAAGGCGGCGGCATGCCTGTCTGTTTTCGGATGTACAAGGTGTCTGGAATAATTGACGGTGTAGTGTGCGTGACCTTTGCACCGTATCTCTGCATATGTCATTCATTAATCGGTTACAATTACACTACCCAGAATAACCATTTTTGAATAACTGCCCTCAGCGTCTTCCATGATCCGTTATTGATCTGCTCATGTAACGCCTCCTTTTAAATGTTTTTACATTTCAAATACCCAATGCTGCCGCTCTTAATACCCAAAATTGTGTTTTCGTCTGCTTATTAGAGTTTTGGCTACCGCAAATGCGAGACATTTAAAATTGTCCATGTCAGGATGGCATAACGCAAACGGGGTAAGACTTTAATGCCAAGGATATGTTTGGGCGGAAGAGATAATCCGCAAATAATAGTTGATTGCCAATGTGGCCACATTTAGAATTAAAACTATGGCAGTAGGTGTTTGTTATACGTGGGTGGAGAATCGGTAGACACCCTATCTGCGCGACGGTTGTCCTTTTCGTACACGGTCACGCCGAACTCTGCAGGAGGTCTGGAGTAAAAAGACCAAAGGACGCAGGCAAACCGACAAAACGGAGACCCGCGCCAATCCGCCTAGGATGCTAATGAGAAGCATGATGAATCATAATCCGCCCAGGATAAATCTTTCGCCCTTTACTAAAGCTTTACGTGTGGGGGTGCAATACGATGAATCTATATGGGCATTTTTGCAGCGCCTCGTTTTCGGGGCGGTTAAAGTGAACAAGAAAGTCACCCTGACAGGGCTTCTACGCGTACAATCCCAGACATATTGAGAACGTAATCACAGCTACTGAAATCGTACTGCCTTAAACTGGAAGTGCAGGAAAGAATCGCTAGCTGGCAGGGCTACCAACTACCAACCCGCCGAGTATTGTCTACCACAAATGCGAGACATTTAGATTTGTCCATGTAGTTAACGAAACGTCAGCTGTAGATATATGCCAGGCCACCACGTATGTAAATCATTATGTAGAAGGTTTAAAGTTTAGCGTCTGATTATTCTATTCTCGCCTGCCTGCACATCGACGCCGGAGTCGCCCAGTTGTCTGTTCTCCATCAGGTGAACGGCGGAGTAAACATGACGACATATCGAACGACATGCGGTGACTGGCGCTTCGTTTCTTCCCACTGTCGATGCGTACTGCCGAACAGTCCTTTCGGATACAAAAATCAAGAACACACTCAGTATCCCCCGTAAACATAACTTGCCGTTGCAGAATGGATAATAATTTTGCTGAGCAGTCTTCAGGCGTAAAACGTGCATGGGAATGTAAACCCATCGATGGGCGCACTTAGTATTTGCTGATTCTGCTACCCACCAATGAGTTAATAGGCAAAGTGATTGCCGGTTGTCCTAGACACTATATCGAGTGTTAATTTAGCTGTATTTTTGACGAAACATATCCATTCCTAATTTACAGCAGCGTTTTTAGAACATTTATCATTCCATACCTCAATGTATTGAAATTTAGCGGTTACCATTTTGAATATTTTTTAAATATATATATATATTATTAATATCCGATAAAACAGTAGTCGCGATCACGGATATCTGACTTAATAGGAGAGCACTAAAGTTAAGAATGCTGGAAAACAATAAGAATGTGCGTTCAAATTAAGCATTAATCGGATTTGAATTGACGATGGCAACTGAACTACAAGTAGTAGCCTCAGGCCCCATCTGCATGCGTAATTAAATCTATGCCCTAAATATAATTACGTTTACGTTAGGCATGACATAATTTCGTCTTCAATGCAGGCGGACATGCAAGACCATGCTTAGCTTGCTCAGTCTTCTTGCATTGGTCTATCCAGGTGTTGTAGTTTAAAGGAATATTAACAGACAGATTCAATTAGTAAACAATTCACAACTGCGTATAAAATTATTTGAATTATGGTATGCGTACCGTGTGATGCATTTCAAATCCCACGCTAGAGAAGGTCAAGTTGCATGCCATCTTAAAGTACTCTGCCTCCAGTACGAGATCAATATAGAAGCATTGGTGTACTTGTGGATTGGCTGCTGTTGTCATGTAAAGTTGGGTTTTGCTTCCTCGGCTGTACGACATGGATGCGCTGAATTCCCAAGAGCGTTCGAATCGCTTTTGAACAAACTCATGCAGTTGGAATCTCCCGTCCGAACCTGGGCATGGCGGACCGGCTTGAACACATGCAATGCAAAGAGATATCTCGTTTACTCATTTGTGTGCATGAGCCGATTCTGCGAAACTAATCATTATTATCGAGTTCGTCTTGGCTAGGGACTTCATATAACTCCAAATCACGTAACACAGTGTCTGATGTAAAGCGGACAGGATCAGAGTAATTGGAAGTTATTTAGGCAAACACTCTGTGTTCAGTTCAAAATGCGTCATCAGGGGGCGTCACCGCCGCGTAGGCAATGATCACGAATTCATAGTCGGTGTCGATTATTAGTGTTAAAACTAAATGACCGTCTATCTCCTCAGCACTGTTAAACCAACCATTTTTTCCTTTATATGCGTAGGCCGTAAACGCAGTGAGAACATTCGGCAGCACACGTGGAGAGGCTTGAGAGGCACGGAAGCGTTTATGGGATGTGGAAATGCCATAAGCTGGAGGGTGATCAATCAGCACTCGTGACCTTGACCGTGCAACGTCACACATTTTTTGCGACTTTTATCTGCTAGGGGTAAAAACACGGCGAAGTTTGCGCCTGGGCCCGTCTCACGAATAATTGCTCTATTTGCCCAAACTGAAAGGCCCAAATTGCGACGAGAAATGGGGCTGCTTATGCGGAGTCCTACCAGATGCCATGGTTAATACATGAAATGCCCATTATTCTATCTTAACATGGGCATGATTAATCTGCAGCGCCAAAGGTAGCATTCTGTACTGCCCTATGAATGGTCCAGAGACGAGCGACAAAACTATTCTACGCAAGGGAACATCTTCTTATAAAAACAGGCGCCGACCGTCAAACAGACTCACATTTGCTAATAAAAGCGAAGAGATGTTCGGAAAAGTGGTCGGGGTAAAAGAGAAAAACGCTGTAACGCCGGATTTCGAGAATGGATGAAATCCGGTAAATGGCCGCTCAGCGGTGTGCGATGAGCGTGGGATTTTGGATTTTTAATGAAATGTAAACACTTTTTTTGTATTACGTTTTACGGTCATATTAAATACATTAGCAGATGAGTAGATGTGATAACTCATGAAATGTCAAACGCAATGCGTTCTGGTTTTGAAAAGATAAATTCAATAAGGTTGTAAAACTAATCACGAATCAGCATTAATCTATAATGATCCGGTTACCATAGGGTGTCGGCTTTAGAAAGAACGTATTTTCCGCTGCATTCAGTATCCATAAACGGCAAAAAATGACTACTTAAGTAGCATGCACCTTTCTCACTGATTTTCGATGCCCTTGAAAATGCAATTATATTACATGGAAAACATGGATGAAAATATTCATTCTTTCAATTACTTGGTAGGAATTCACGTCTTCTTTCAATTTAATAATCAACAAATGAGCAATATTTGATTTTAAAAATTTTTAATTCCCGAAAAATTGTGAACCCGACCTGCTGTAACAATTCCATTCAGGGTTTTAAAACTACAAGCTGTATCTTTTCCGTGTACGGAAATCCATGTATTTCTCTACGGTGTTAATAGGAGACTATATGAGGTTCATGAAATTAAGCAGTGGATTTGACTCATATTGTTAACTTTACAAGCTATATTCGTAAATGCAGATACATGACGTTTCATGAACGGCCATTTAACGCTATCACAAAATCGCGCAATAAGAAACTTTTTAAAACCGAATTATACTCTTCTTTTGAGTATAAAATTAGAAGAAGACGTGATTTTCTACCGAAAAAGTAAGGAAGTGAATATTTTTATGGATGTTTTCCATGAAATATAATGGCATATTCATGGGCATCGAAGATCAATGAGAAAATAGCATCCTACTTAAGTTTTCATTTTTTGCAGAGTATAGATCTTGCATGCAGGCGAAAATAAATTCTTTGGAACGCCAACACCCTGAGGTAACCGGATCATTATAGATGATTGCTGCATCATAATTCGTTTAACAATAATGCTTAATTTGTCTTCTAGAAACAAGAACGCATTTCCAAATTTTTGGCTGACATTTCATAAGTTAGCAAATCTACGGGATATGCTTCAGAGACGAGCGACAAATGTGATTCACGTATAGGAATATAATCCTATAAAAACAGGAGTCGACCGTCAAAATGATTCACATTTGCTAAGAAAAACAAAGAGGAGAATTCAGGAAAGTGGTCGCTGTGAAGGAGAAAATCCGCTCGAACACCGGATTTCAACGGATGACGAAATCCGGTAAACGACCCTTCGGCGGTGGGCGATGAGCGTGGGAGCCAATAATCTTGACCGACACAGGGGCGCATAACGGCGTGACAACGGCGTGCTTCAACACCTGGCCAGTCGAGTCTTGATGCGTCCGATGCCTGTTAAATGTGATAAGCATGCAGTGGGCTCACCAAATACATCCTATAAATATTGCTACACATGGGCAGTACACTAACTTTGTCCGACTGTCTGGATTCGGTTGTGAACCCGAAATGTCACGCTTATAGAGTAATATCCTGAAAATACGCACAGGGCCGCACGTTTTACTTCAATAGCAGTGTCGCTGCACCAAGAAACACTCTGCCTCTTGATTTCGTAA